CACAAGTTTGTGCAAATTCGTGGCATATGTAACCTTTGTTACTTTAATTATGTGTCTTTATCGTATCAGAATTGTACACAGCGTAAGTTAACGAGGCTACGGGAATAACTAGACCAGAATAACAAGAAGAATTGTATATTTGTTACAGTGTAAAGTTGAAGTTACTTGTTGCTGAAAATCTAGCAGAAATTTTGTTATCTACATGCAGAACAAATATACTTTTTAATTTGTAAGATTATTTTAAGAAGTAGAAAATGATGATAAATTATAGCAATTTATCTTTAAGATTAAAGTATATACACAGTGAAGTAAAAATGAGTAATATAAACATTGAGAGAAAAAATATTTTAGAATTATAAATTATTGTCTTTAAATGATAGGTAATTTAAATGAAATCAAAGTTGTTGAAATCAAAGTACAAAAGAAATATAATAATTTGTCTATCTGTGATACTTCTTATCTTTATATTTACAATTCTTTCTTTTTTACACTTTTCTTTTTTTGTTAAATATAAATAATTTATAAAAATTTCTCTCCTCACTTTAAGATCTATAAAAGAATATTTTTCATAGAAATTTTTCACAGTAACAATTACCACAGTAAACATTCATCTAATCATATTAATTTCCAAATTATATTTTCGAAATTTTTAATTTGAAAAATAACGAAAGGAGAACAATATTAATTTGAAAAGAAAAATGAAAGGAGAACAATATTAATTTGAAAAGAAAAATGAAAGGAGAACAATATTAGTTACTATTTTTAGTTTGAAAGAAAAATGAAAGGAGAACAATTTCAGTCGCCACTTTTTAATACCGTTACTTCTATTCTCTGTTTATCACGATAGTCAGTGAAAAGTACTGTAAATATTTAAGTGTAGGAAAAGAAGGGCTAATTCATTTTCCACGTTCTTCGTCAGACATTTCCATATACAGTAAATTCTCTACAAGTGTCACTCAGTTTGGATTCTACAAGTGTCAGTATAGATGGTCCTGCGTCATTGCTGCGCCCATGTTATTTCGCTCGCAGTTAGTCAAGCGTGTAACGCTACACCACTCGGGTTCCTTTACGAGATTTCACAGCTCGACAAATCATAATAGAAAAATATAATTTCTTTTATTTTACTTTTTTTCATCTGAAATTTTTTTTAACATGTTGCTGAGATTTTTCTGATGAAAATGATATCAAACACGATATAATTTGAACAACATCTACTTATTAATACTTATTGAGTAATTAATTTAATGTCGGCCTACCTCCACGTAAAAAAAAAAAAAAAAATGTAGGGCTGATTCTACAAGTGTCGGTCAAATGTAGGGCCAATTCTACAAGTGTCAGTAAAACGGTAGGCCAATTCTCCAACTGGCAGTCAGACGGTAGGCCGACTCTATGTAATGTAATACAGGGCGTCTGTTTTATCTCAATACAGTGAAATATCTGGCGTGACAGTGAACGTGTTAATAAGTAAATGTTGTTCAAATTATGTCGTGTTTGATGTCATTTTCATCAGAAAAATCTCATCAATATGTTAAGAAAAATTTCGGGATAAAAAAACGTAAAATTAAAAAAGTTGGTATTCAAATCGCTTGGTTGCCCGACTCACGTTTCATCCTTATCTTTTATTCGCTGTCCTTGTCTAAGTTCGGCAAACTACAAAGGCGGACGCGAGGCTTGAAAACGTAGTCCCTGACTCTACAAGTGTCAGGTTTAGGTTCCTTGCGGACTGACACTTGTGGAGAATTTACTGTATATCACTCGAATCAATGAGCTTCCGAAGTGCAAAAGCGTTCGACTCGCGGTATCGATTCCACCGTTCGATGCCAGCTCTAATTATCCATGGGGGTGGGCAATTTATCTTAATTAGCACACCGTCGACTAGGTAAGGGCGTTACGGATGCAAGGAAATCGGCAAATAATATATCTGACTCTGCGGTTCGTTCGATTAATTAACGGATAACTTTCTATTATCACCGAACGGAAGTCAGGTTGATTTATTGACAGATCGGCGACACGATAAACTTCAGTCGCGCCTAGAAATTCAACAGCTACCGTGTATCGAACCGACGAATTATCCGCCATATCGCGGAACATAATAGCCCTTCGTTTCCCTAATCACTGTGAATTCGCTGGTTTCAACCTTTCACCGCTCGCCTTAATCACTGCGAATAGAGATTATAATAGCTATCGTCTGCATTGCTCGAGACTGAAAGGTTTTCTCACACGCTTTTGCTTTTCTATCAATTCTTAATATTTCAATGTTGTTCACTTCGTTTTCAACGAAGACTTTTCTGTTTTTAAGGGAGATTGTGAAATATATATTCTTTTTATATTAGAATAGAAATTAAATGTTTTGAGTTTAAAAAATTCTTTTTTAAGTTTTCTTTTCTGATCTTTGATAGTATGTGAAATCTTGATATTTCAATGTTATTCACTTCATTCTCCTTTTTTCTGTTTTTAACGAAGATT